TTTCTAGAGAAAAGGTCCCTAATTTTTATCAGCTGTCCTGAGGTTGTCCACATCTTAAAGAAGATAAACTACAACAGTCCTCCTCTTATCTACAGTTTTGCCTTTCTTAGTTTAAATTACTTGCAGTCAACCACCACCTGAAAATATTAAATGAAAAATTCCAGAAATAAACAATCCATAAACTTTAAATTGCATGCCATTTTAAGCAGTATGATGAAATCTTGTGCCATCCCACTCAGGATGTGAATCCTCAATTATGTCTTTGTCCAGCATTTCCACACTATGTTACATATCCCACATCCATTAATAACTTTGTAACTGAACTGCCATCTGTTTATCAGATGGAAACCACAATGCTTATGTCCAGGCAATGTTTACCTCACTTAATACTGTCTCCAAAGCACAACAGTAGTGATGCTAACGATTCAGAAATACCAAAGAGAAGCAGTAAAGTGCTTCCTTTAAGTGAAACGGTGAAAGTTCTCTACTTAATAAGGAAAAAAAAAAGGTATGCTGAGATTGCTACAATCCATGTTAAGAACAAATCTTCTCACTGGCGCAGTGGCTCATGCCTGTAATCCCAGCAATTTGGGAGTCTGAGGTGGACAGTTCACTTGAGGCCACAAGTTCCAAGACCAGCCTGGCCAACACGGCCTAATTCCATCTCTACTAAAAATACAAAAATTAGATGGGTGTGGTGGTACACATCTGTAAATCACAGCTACTTGGGCGGCTAAGGCACAAGAATCACTTGAATCCAGGAGGTGGAGGTTACCCTGAGCTAGTCGTGTCACTGTACTCCAGCCTGGGCAACAGAGCAAGACACTGTCTTAGAAAAAAAAAGAACACATCTTCTTCTACTCATGAAAATGTGGAGAAGGAAAAAGAATTTGCACTAGTTTTGCTGTCTCAACTCAAAACTGTGTTAAATATGGCCACAATCATTCGCCTTACTTCATCTCATCACATAGGCATTGTATCATCTCACACTATCACAAAGGTTAAGTACAGTACAAGGTATTGAGAGACCACATTCACGTGTTTTATCACAACATAGTTATAAATGTCCTGCTTTATTATTGATGTTGCTAATCTCTTATTGTTTCTAATTTGTAATTAAACGTCATAGGAAAAAACATAGTAGATACAGGGCTCAGGGCTATCTGGTTTCAGGTATCCAATGGGGGTCCTGGAATAAACAGATTCCCTGTGGACAGGGGGACTTCTGTACTGGCATTTACATTAATGGCTCCCAAATCTATGCTGCATGCTCAGATCTTCCCCCCAAAGTCTAAAACTCTTGTTTCAACTACCTGCTACACATCTTCAATCAAATGCTCCAAACATAGATCAAACTCACCATGTTAAAAATCCCCACTGAAATCACCATCCAAACCTGCCCAAACCTTCCTATAATCTCTAATTCAGTTGTGGCAATACAAATTACCTAATTACACAAACCAGAAGCATAAGCCTTGTATTTTTTCTTATCTCTCATCTCCTTATCCAATCATCAAGTACTACTGACATTAAGCCCAAGATATTTCTCAAATATGTTCCCATTCTTTCATCCCAAACACAGCTGACCACTGAACCATGTGGAGGTTAGGAACACTGGCCTCCTGTGCAGTCAAAATACTGTGTATAATTTTTAAGTCTCTTAACTAGTAATAGCCTACTATTGACCCAAAGCCTTACCAATAACATAAAGTCTGTTAACACCTGTTTGGCATATTACATGTATTACACATTGTATTCTTTCAATAAAAAGAAAAATATTAAGAACACTGTCAGAGAGAAAATTAACAACACTGTAAGAAAGAGAAAATGTTATCTGGTATTCAATAAATGGAAGTGGATCATCATAAAGGTCCCCATCCTTCTTGTCTTCACATTCGGTAAGCTGAGGTGTAGGAGGACGAGTAGTTGGTTCTGCTGCCTTAGGGGTGGTACAGGATCAAGAGATGGCGGAGGTAGAGGTAGAAGGGGAGGCAGGAGAAGTGGCCATGCTTCTGTAACTTTACAGAAATACATTGTAATTTGTCTGACTTTTCTGCTTTTTCATTTCCTCTCAAAATGTTTCTATCTGTTCTCAATCCTTCTGCCACGGTTTGCTTTTAAGTTTCAGTGCCCACATCATAGAAGGGTCCATGTCATGAAAGTCAAAGCATTCTTGAATATCAGAAAACTCCTGCCAGATTGTCTAATGTCAATTTGTTTTTTTGGCACTGTTTCTACATCTTGCTCATTGTCTGGCACTGGTTCAGAAGCACTCATCTCCATCAAGTCATCTTCTGCTGATTCCTCTGGTGTGATGTCCATTAGCTCTTGAATTTCTTCAAGATCCGTATCCTGAAACCGTTCACTCCCCAGTTTACCACAGCCACATTCTCTTTCATGATTCAGACTGGCTCTGTCATAAATCTTGTGAAGTCATATACAGCATCTGGACACAGTTTTCTCCAGAAAGAATGTATTATTTTGGGCTAGATACCTTTCATGACTTTTTAACAATGATGGCACCTTCAATGGTGTAATCTTTCCAGACTTTCATCATGTTCTCTCTATTGAGGTTCTCTTCTATAGCAATGACAATCTTTTCCATAGATTACTGTGTTTAATGAGCCTTGGCCGGGTGTGGTAGCTCATGCCTGTAATCCCAGCACTTTGGGAGGCCCAGGTGGGCAGATCACCTGAGGTCAGGAGTTTGAGACCACCCTGGTCAACATAGTGAAACCCCATCTCTATTAAAAATACAAAAAATGGCCAGGTGCGGTGATGACAGGTGTAGTTATAGGCTCACACCTATAATCCCAGCACTTCGGGAGGCCGAGACAGGCAGATTCATGAGGTCAGAAGTTTGAGAACAGCCTTATCAACATGGTGGAACCCCGTCTCTACTAAAAATACAAAAATTAGCCTGTTATGCTAGCATGTGCCTGTAATCCCAGTTACTCAGGAGGCTGAGGCAGGAGAATTTCTTGAACCTGAGAGGTGGAGGTTGCAATGAGCTGAGATTGCACCACTGCACTCCAACCTAAGAGACAGAGCGAGACTCCATTTGAAAAAAAAAAAAAAAAAATTAGCCAGGTGTGGTGGCAGGTACCTGTAATTCCAGCTACTCAGAGGAGACTGATATAGGAGAATCGCTTAAACTTGGGAAGTGGAGGTTGTAGTGAGCTGAGATGGGGCCACTGCACTCCAGCCCAGCCAACAGTGTGAGACTCCATCTCAAAAGAGCCTTAAAGGTCCTTATTAACCCCCTACCTTCCCCATCTACAGGCTGAATTAAAACCACTGTATTTAAGGTCAAGGATACCACTTCAACACCTTCAGTATTGAAGAACTCATGAGGTTCTGGGTGGCTAGGGGCATTGTCTAATACAAAAAATAGTTAAAAGGCAGTCCCTTACTTACAAGGTACTTCCTGACACCAAGGTTAAAGCACTGATGGAACCAATCCAGAAAAAGAGTTCTCACTGTCCAGTCTTCTTGTGTAACCAAAAGACTGGCATCTAGTGTTTATCTTTTCTCTTCAAGGCTCAGGGGTTACTAGATTAATAGATAAGGTCAGCCCTGATAATAAACCCGACCGCACTTGCACAAAACAGTAGAGTTAGCTTATCCCTTTCTGCCTTGTACACCCTAGTATGTGCTTCTCTTCCTTGCTAGTAAATGTACTTTGTGGCAATTTTTTTTTTCCAGAATAGGGCACTGTTGTCTACATCAAAAACCTGCTTAGGGAGATATCCTTTCTCTTCAATGATTTTCTTACTGTTATCTGGGAACTTGTCTGCCGCCTCTTCACTGGCAGAAGCTGCCTCTCCTGTTACCTTGACATTTTTTAAGCCAAACTTCTCTCTAAAATTATCAAACCATCCTTTGCTGCCATTACATTTTCCAGCTTTAGATCCTTCACCTTCCTTTGACTTTGTCATATAATGACTTCATTTCTCTCAAATCATATTAGAATCAGTAGGTACACTTTTCTTATAGCAATCCTGCACCCACATATAAGCTGCATATTCAATATGAGATAAAAAAGTATTTTGCAAAAAGCAAAAGGTTTTTGCACCAGCTGGCATAGGTGCAGTGATGGCTTCACAAACTTCCTTTTGTTTTAACAATGGTCCTGGCTTCATTTACCTTAAAATGGCAGGTAACCACAACTGCAGAACTTAATCTAGTACACATCAAGCAATTCAAACGTTTCTTGCAATGTCATGACATTTCTGCTTTTTGGGAGCACTTCCAGGTTCACTGGGGGCACTCTGAGTTTCATCGTGTTTTTCCAAGCTTACAGTAATACACTAAAAATAATGAAAAATATGTGACAACCACAAAACCTTTTACTGTGATACAGAGAGAAACGAAGATGATTAGTCACAAGGTGTTTTCCTGTTTGTTTTCATTTTTGTTTTAGACAGGGTCTCCTTCTGCCACCAACGCTGAAGTGCACGCAGTGGTGCAATCACAGCTCACTGCAGCCTCAAACTCTCGGGTTCAAGGGATCCTTCTGCCTCAGCCTCCTGTGCAGCCAGCTGGGACTACTGGTATGCACCACCATGCATGGCTAATTTTTAAAAAATTTTTTGTAGAGATGGAGGTTTTGCTTTGTTGCCCAGGGTGGTCTTAAAACTCCTAGGCTCAAGCAATCCTTCCATCCTGGCTTCCCTAAGTGCTACAATTACAGCTGTGAGCCACTACACCTAGCCACAAGGCATTTTAAGTGCATACCTGCAACATTTTGGCTCACCTTGATATCAGCAAGAGGTAGCTATAAAATATACTACAGTTAATTTTATGCAGTTACCATTTAATACTGCATCTTTACACTTGTTTACATTCCTCTTGATTGCAAATGACACCATGTACAATTTGTGCCTACGTTTTAATAAACTTTAGCTTTTTATAATAGATTTGTGTACATCTTATGTAGTAAATGACAACGCAGACTAGTATCTACATATATTTTATGCATTCCTAACTTCTTTTTTTTGTTTGTTTGTTATTTTGAGGCTATGCAGTTCCATCTGTGAATCTTGTCAAATCTCCACAAAGTTTTCAAATATATTTACTGGAAAAAAGCCATGCAATAAGTGGATCCACGCGGTTCAGACCCATGTTGTTCAAGGGTCAACTTTACTACTGTCTTAAAACTTTCACCCAGTTCATTGCAAAAGCCTTCCAAACACTATGAACTCCAACCTCATGGAATCTACCACCCTCAAAATCACAATCAAAATAAACATAGGTGCACCGCGACCCTGTACAAAACCCTTCTACGGCAGCACAGTAGGCACAAACCTAGTTTATGCTCAATTCTCCACACCTGTCTGACATGTATTCTCTAACAATATTAAACCAAGTGGAATTTTTACTAGCTGTTTCTCACTGTATTTCCATAACTGTCACAACTCCTACCCACTTATTTCAGTTCCCATGTCTTTCACCCCCTACCCCTGTTGGTCTTCCTTTGCTCCGCCTTTTCTTTATCTGATTGTTTACATATCTTCTGAACACAGCTCAGGTGTCATAACCTCCAGGAATCCTTCTCTGAACTCCTCAAACAAAGTTAACAACTCCTTCTCAGATCTTGCATGATATTTTAGTTTACAGTGTAAACTATATTTAACTATACACTAAAGCTGTAGTGTATTTTTGTTTATATGGGAATGTAGTGATACAAAGTATCACTAGTAGTTGTAGACTAACCATTACTACTCTCCCATATAGCTTCATAATTGTCTGTTTATGCATCTTCTTCCATGAATTTCTTAAGAGATTGTACATTGTGCATGTGGCATTGAAGAAAAATGCAGAATCTCTTGGCCGGGCACAGTGGCTAACACCTGTAATCACAGCACTTTGGGAGGCCGAGGCGGGCAGATCACGAGGTCAGGAGACAAAGACCATCCTGGCCAACATGGGGAAACCCTGTCTCTACTAAAAATACAAAAAAATTAGTTGGGCGTGGTGGCATGCGCCTGTAGTCCCAGCTACTCAGTAGGCTGAGGCAGGAGAATCACTTGAACCCAGGAGGTGGAGATTGCAGTGAGCCAAAATTGTGCCACTGCACTCCAGCGTGGCAACAGAGCAAGACTCCGTCAAAAAAAAAAAAAAAAAAAAAAAGGGGGGGGGGGGGAGGGTGGAAGAAAAAGAAAGTGGTAAACAAATGTCTGTTGAATGAATACTAATTTATCCATGTTATATCAATGCAATTTTGAAAACACAAACACTTTAATTATAAGGCACATGATATGGGAAAACAGTTGAATGTGTTTACCCTCAGCAATTAATCTGATTTTAAATAATCAAATCTTTTTTCGAATAGAAGTAATGTACAAGTACCAGACTTTTAAATTTTACCTCAAGCAGTATTTTCAGATTTTTCCCATTCATCTATCTAAAGCCCTCACTCAAAAGGCTGCTTAATCATTAATTTTACTAATAAATATTAACTGGGAAGAAAATGGTGGACGAAATAGGCCCTTCAGAAGCAGATCAATAAGCTACAATCTTTCCCTAAATCAAGTAAGTCCAAAAACTATGTATCAAATGAAACGGGCTTCTAGTGCAGATTCCTACATACACATGATTTGGTCTTGGCATCAAATTCATGTCAACAGCGTTGGCAAAACGATGTTACAAATGAACTTTAATCTTTACACTCCCCTAACCATGACACAAAAGCAATATTAACTGCTACTAAAAATCTTTTTAAATTACTGAATGTTCAACTCTCACCTCAGCAATATGTTAACAATAAAAACTTTAGGCTATACTTAATTCCAGGAGCAATAAAATGTAAAGGCTCTAACTTTATGTATTAATATATTTTTAAAAATAGTAATATTCTATTAAAGTAACATTCTAAATTACTTGAGCAGGGCTTTAATCCCATTGATAAAACTGATTAAGTGGCAATAACTGCAGATATACTCAGTAAGGGATTTGGCAACCAATGCTTCAGCAAAACAATAAAATAAACTGCACACACACATCTATATACACAAACATATAATATCTGCTATCTAATTATTAGATGTATTCAGGACCCTTCCCCAAGAAGGCCAAGTTACAAAGTGGTCAGCAAGCAAAGTAAATTCATTTAGCAGAAAAAGAAACAAAAGCTCTTTAAAGGAAAGATATACTTAAGGATTCTTAAATGCTTATAGCTTAATAAGACTTTTAAAAACCAAGTCAAGAATTTAATTTTTAAAAGTGATCTTTGCCTCCTTACCTCCCTCCAATCCAGGATTATAATTTCCTCATCAGTTAAGTATCAATAACAAAAATAAGTCTATAATAGTCTGTTTTCTTTAAAGCAAAATCTGTTCATTTACGTTACTTCAGATATAAAAATGTAACCTTCAAAATGCCTGAATTTGAAAGGATGTCAGTCTATTATATACTTAAACATCTTGAAGGTTCTGTAATTACTAAGAGTTAGAACTACATCATAAGACAAATTAAAACTAAAATGAAAAGAAGTGAATTCTTAACATCTACTTCCATACAAAGGACAACAAGTCTTTAGTCCTCTGTGAATAATTTTCTACAAGAAAAAATTTAGAACAGGGTGGGTGGGGGAAAGGGTGAGAATTTGAAATTCCAGGCAATTCAGAATGACACAGCTAGGCAAAAAAAAATAAACAAGGGAAAATGCCTGATCTTAATTTCAAGCTCCAGCCTGAAAAAAATTGCTTTGGTACAAGTATCTGAGGAATGGTAGTATTTTTTTTTTTTTAATCAGATACAACTAAGCTATTAATTATGTAATGAAGCTTCCTCCCAAACTATAAGAACCTCAGAGTAGACAAGGTCCCTCTCTATGTCATTGTACTCCTAACAACGTATGGCACAATGTTTAGATAATACTCAAAAACTATGATCTGAATATCTGCAGTTAACGATAAGCAGTCTTATGTGATGACCAACCAGTATACAATTACTTATGACATCTGCAATAATACCATTTAACTATCATTTATTCCTTAAACAATGACAAGCATCAAAAATACAGCCAAAGATCCAGGCTTTGAGAAAAACAGCCTAGTGTAACACATTCAAACAGACTTTGGACAAATTAACCTTTCAAAGCTCACTTTCCTCATGTGCTTGTGGCCAGAGAAATATGACAGCGGACTGTGGGGTAATTAAGAAAGTCTGCAAAAGCATCTGCCCAATAAATATGTTTGTTTCTTCCTTTCCTATGCAGAAGAGTCACAGAGCTTTGATTTGTGACTTAAAACTGAATATAAAGACTACTGATGTTTGGTTAACTGGTTTCTCTGGTTACAGTATAGAACAGATGGGAGTGGAGGAGTGCTGCCAAAAAAAGAGGTGATGTCAAGGAAAAAGAAAAAAATAAGATTATCAATCAGAAAAGCACAGCGGCATGGGAGAATTCCATGAAATCACAGCCTGATCTACATTTAATTGGGCTCTAATATCATTAAATTACAGAACAGTAACATTCATAATGAGAAAGTTAAATCATCAATAGAAGGCTCAATTATGATTTGCATTTCAGGCCTCAACATGGGTAGGCTATCCAAAACTCAGTTTGAAAATTCAGAACAATTTTTTCAAAGACACAAGGTCAAGCTTCCAGATTAACCTATTTAAGTCCATTAAAGTCACAGAGCAATTGAGCTAAGAGTACTAACAACTCTTTCCAGCTATGTCTCTGTGAATGACTTTTGCATGAGGAAAAAAAGTATATACAGTTTTCAAAACGATGATGACCATAACAAACAGGATACAATAATGTAATATTCTCACTGAGGTAAAAAGCTTGTCACTGTACTACTATTGGTGCTATTTTCAACCATAAAAAGAGAGATTACAGGACTCCCTTAAACACATTTTATCCAGAAAACACAGTATTCATCATAACTAGATTTCAAACATCGTACTTACAGACCTTCGTATTAAGAAAATTAGTGATATCTGAGATCAACACTTTAAAATAAAATGTTTTCTTTCCCAATATACTATGAAATCCAAAACACTACTATTTATACTACATGTGTAGTATACTACACTACTACATGGGTCACAAGTATAAAATTAATCTTTACGCATTCATCTATATAAAAACCCTATAAACTGTAAGACAGTGACAAACTGATTATACCTAAATCAATTACATATAACCCAAAAGGAAAGAAAACGTATGAAATACCAAATTGCCATAGTTTGCCCTGCCTTTGAATGACTCTAACTGTAATCGAATAAGAATGACAGCAAAAGGTCTATGATACAAAATTGTTAGAAAAATCTGCTCTAAGTCTATTCAAAACTTCTCTACAACTGTCAACTCACCAAAAAAAAAAAGTACACAAGAACACAGCTAACTTTCCCACTGCTTCATATTAGAATTTAACCATCATCACTGAAATATACCACTCATAGTTTAAAGAAAAATCCAAGACTAAAAAGGTAGGTAATTTTTGCAACATCACACAACGTATTTTAGACAAAGGCCACAGGAAAAGACACTAGCAGCATTTCCTAGATTTATGTATAAACACAATTGTCTTTTGCTGAAATTTCTGAAGCTAGAATAAGCCTAAGGTAACCTCAAGTTAAAACCTCTTCATTTTACAACAGAAGAAACTGAAGCTAAGGGGCTTATACAAGCTGAGTGTCCTTCCAGGGTACCATGTCAACTCAAGCCGTCAGAGTGCTCAATACTGAAAAATCATTTTATAATTAAATAGGCTAGTCTTAACACTGAGTTACTATGACTACCTGTTTATTTCAGTCTGCTAGAGGGAAAAGAGCTTTCAACCAGAAATCAAGCTTCTGGTCATGGATCTTCCATAAATTCAAGTAAGGAGTATATCCCTTGGTAAACCATCTTCTCTAGTCCTCTGTTTCCTCATTTGTTAAGAAAGAACAGACTCTCTTAAAAGTCTCTGCCATGGTTTGAATGTTTGTGTCTCCTTCAAAATTCATTTTGAAATTTAACCGTCAATTTAACAATATTAAAAAGTGCGGTAATCCAGGTGCAGTGGCTAATGCCTGTAATCCCAGCACTTTGGGAAGCCAACGTGGGCGGATTGTTTTAGCCCAACAGTTCAAGAGCAGCCTGGGCAACATAGTAAAACCCTGTCTCTACAAAAATAATAATAATAATAATAATACCAAAAAAATTGTTGCTGGCCTGCATCTGTCCTTAGCTACCCAGGAGGCTGCGGTGGAAGAATCCGTTAAGCCCTGGAGGGCATGGCTACATGCTACAAGATCAAGTCACTGCAATTCAGCCTGGGTAAGAGTGGGGGGGGGAAGTGGGGTCTTCAGGAGGTGATTAACTCATAAGGGTGGAATCCTTGCGAACAAGATTAGGTGGCCTTATAAAAGAGGTTGACAAGGAGAGTTCACTTTTTTTTGCCCTTCTGCCTCTAACATGTGCAGATACAGGATTCTCCCCCACCAGAGGATTCTAAGAGGATCCTGCATCAAGGCATCGTGTTGGAGGCAGACAGCAGCCTTCACCAGACAGCAGAAACTGCAGCACCTTGATCTTGAACTTCCCAGACTCCACAAGTGTAAGAAAATAAATTTCTGTTCTTTATAAATTACTCAGTCTGCAGGATTTTGTTACAGTACCATAAAAAGATTACGAGAGTAGCATTAATCAAAAAAGCAGTATTTCTTTCGTGTCTCATTTGCATACACAAAAAGTAGTAAATTATTATTTAAAAAATTTAATCTTTGTACTTCTAATACATTTTACTGTTTAATCTACCACTTTAGTATATTCCCAAAGACAAAAAATTAAAAATCAAAGTAAACATATTAACTTCAAGGAATCACTTTTTGCTAAGTATATACATTTCTATTAACCAAAAATAAAAATAAAAAAAAATTGTGTGTGGTCAGCTTCACAATTTAAAAGAGTAAAATGTAAACTCATAAATATGTCAACTAGTAATAATAAGCCTTTCTTACAGGTTATGCTTTTGACTGCTTTATTCAAGTCAATACACACTAAAGTCCCCTTACACAAGTTATATACTCAAATGTTACTGAACAATGCACATTTCAATTGATTTAAAGTTTTTTATACCTTTTATAAATGGTCCATTTACTTAAAGCCAGTAAAACTTGGATTCTTTTTGTAAAGAGAGTATCGCATTGTATAAGCTTCAGGGCCCCTGGATCTGCCCCTGGCTAATAATTTAAAAGGTAACCTTAGAATTTATTTTCTCTATAATGAAAAGAACACAAACTTTTCAGTCAGACATACCTGGAATTTGAATCCTAACTCTGACCTTCTCTATGCGTATATGCATATAATACACATATTTTACTAGGCCTCTCTGAGACCCAGATAGATTTAAAACAGAAGTAACAACATTATACTTAAAATTGTTTTGAGTATTTCAGATAATTAGTTCAAAGTATTTAAAACAGCCTACCACAAGGCAGACACCCAACAAGTTGTTACGAATCTTATAAAGCAACCTCTAGTGGAAATGGGAATTGCAGATGAAAAAGAAAAAGGAATTTTTCACCATTACTTTGGAGAAGACAGGGCAAACAGAAGAGGCTAAGTGTTGCTCAGTTAAGAGCTGTTTTAGGTAAGAATGACTTAAAAATACATATGTCAAAAAATTCCTCTTAGCAATGATGGCTTGCTTTCATAGAAAAGTAGCTCTAGGAAATCTCACATTTTCTTAAAGTAGGTAAAAATTCCCCTTTGAAGTCATTTTATGCACCTGCTCAGCAGTAACATTTCTCGTTTAAAGAGCAAATGGGGGTCCATTCATTTCTCAGTGATTACAAGTGCTAAAAAGGAGGTCAAATTAAGAAGTCTTGCTTAGTTGCACTTTCAACTTTAAAATTTTTTTTTTTTTTTAAAGAATGCTGCCTAGTAGCAAAAGATTTGGATTAGGGGTTAAGGCAACTACAGGATCAGTTCTCAATTTCGTCTTAACTGGTATCAAGTTGAGCAAGTAGGATTCTCCTCCTCATCTTTAAAAAAGATTAGTCACTAGTGATTTTAAAGCAATGGCTAACAGAATTTCTTAAAATGAAATCTTTCACAGAACCCCACATACAAATGGTAACACAGGAGCTGCTCTAAAGGACCACAGAAGGAGATCTGGAGATTTCTACTTTCCACTTCCTAGGCCTCCTGGGTCCTAGATACCCTCCGGGCTCCCTGTAAATGTTTGAAAGTAACTGCCCTACACAAAACACAGAATTATAGTTGAAAATTTTGATTTAATGATTGGGAAATTCTTTTAAATGTCTTAGTGATACCACTATTAGAAAGCATTTTCTGATATTTAATCCTCATAATTTGTGAAGGACTGCTGTAGTTCTCATCTTAAAGAGGAGAAAACAAACTTAAAAAGTCTGTTCATTCCTTTATTCAGCATTGTGTACTATATGCTGGGTGCATACTGCTGTACTGATGAAAGTCATGAAGAAGACTTGAGGCCTCCTCAAGAAAATTATGCTCTAAAAAAGGAGATAGAGACTCCTCTCTCAAGAATCTTGGCTGTGAAAGGAGGTAATATGGTAGTTACTATAATGCAGAAGAAAGCGGAAAAGACATCTTCCTTCTCTGAGACCAGAGGAAAAGGAGCCGAGAATGAATAAAGATGCTGATTAAATAATATAACTGAAAGGGTTCTGAACGTCGAATAAACTTTGAACTTTCACCTAATTACATCCCTTTTCACAGTGAAGTAGTTAGGTTTCTTGAAGAGAGGTAAGAGAATTCTCAATAGAGAGCTTAAGGACAATGATTAAAGTTTGGAATAGCTCAGGCAGGAAAGAGAGAAGTTGACCAGGGACAGACAGACAGACAGACAGACAGACAGACAGACAGACACACACACACAGACACAGACACACACACACACACACACACACACACACACACACACACAAACTGCTCAGAGGCACTGAGAGTCCAGCTAAATTAGAGACCACTGTCTTGCAATTTTCTCCAGGAGTAGCTAAAAACTGTGTACAGTGGAGGCAAATAGGTGGAATGATCCAAGATGCTTTCTGCTGCTATTTCTGGCCTTGCTCTGGGGAGACAGTGAGAAAGGTGCAAATGATAACATAGTGAAAGTGATAGCACCATGGCTTGGGAGAAATAAAAGGGTCTTCTTGAGATCAAAGGGCACATGAACGTGAGAAGGAACCAAGCAACAAGAGAGAATAATTAAATAATAACTGCTTGCATTTATTTATAATGCTTATTATGTGCCAAGCACTATTCTAAGGAACTTTACATGTATTAACTCCATCTTTAAAACAATTTTATGACGTAGGTATCATCATTTTTTCCTTTTTATAAAAGAGACAACAGGCAGACACTAAGTGATTTGCTCAAAGTCCTATATCTAACAAACAGAAGAGCTAGGATAGAATGCAATATTGGAGTTTCAAGATTTCTAAAGTAGTAGGATGACAAGCTCTAAGACAGCATGAAAATCCCTGCAATACAAGTCTGTCTGATCGTCACTGTAGATTCAGTACCTGACCCACAGCAGCAACACACAAAAAAGGTATTTTAAATTGAATAAATGAATGACTTCCACATGCAACGAACAAAATTAAGATATGGCCAAGACACAGTATCTGTGAGGAGGGTATGAAACTCTTTAATGACTGAGGGAGCATGAGTAGGAAGTCAGTAGATGGTCATAGGGAGAGAGCAGGAGAATAATTCTCAAGCCAAAAAAGATGATGATGGATGTGGTAATAAACCACATCTGGGCCCAATGATTCAAGGATGATAAGAAAAATAAAAACCTCAATTCAAAAACATAAGCCTACATCCTCAGGCCAAAGCCACGTTTCAGGTGGAAAGAAGTCACAGAATTCAGTCAGGCGCAGTGGCTCATGCCTGTAATCCCAGCACTTTGGGAGGCTGAGACAGGTGGATCATGAGGTCAAGACATTGAGACCATCCTGGACGACATGGTGAAACCCCGTCTCTACTAAAAATACAAAAATTAGCCAGGCATGGTGGCTCATGCCTATAATCCCAGCTGTTCGGGAGGCTGAGGCAGGAGAACCGCTTAAACCCAGGAGTGGGGGTTGCAGTGAGCGGAGATCATGCCATTGCACTCCAGCCTGGCAACAGAGCAAGTCTCCATCTTTTAAAAAAAAAACGAAGACAGGCTGGAGATACAGGGAAATTAATGTGCAAGAGAAACAGGGGATCAGAGTGTACAATTTAAGTGTGATGGGAAGGGATGAGATGTGAAGGAGTCATGGTGGAGGGAGTGAAATGCAGAGCACAGCTAGTAAACAGAAACGCTGGACCAGAGACTGTCTTCTGACTCTCAATTCAGGGTCACTGACAACACATCATACGACCTTTACTGATTTCAAGTCTTTACTGTTGCAGGAGACTGGGCTGACTACCCTGCTACAGAAAGTGCCACAAGATCTTTAATGACCCACTACTACATCTTAAGACTTCACTTAGAGCTACAAAAACTTCAAACATTTCAGGGCACCATTTGCTTACTGAATTTATCAATTACTATGGTTTGGCTTAGAGGAATAGTTTCTCATTTAATCAGTCATTCACTAACCATCCACACTATGCTAAATGCTGTGTGGTTCAAAGGGGTATCTGGCATAAGCTTTGGACAGGGACCAAAACCTAGTTCAGGAGTGAAACAAAAAAGGGAGAGGGGAGAAGAAGGAGACAGGGAGGAAAGGAAGGAAAAAAGAAAAACCAGGTATGTTTTTAAATGAACATTTAACGTACATATTATAGAATGGGCAAACCAAGTGAGCATTTATTCCTTCAATAAAGTTATGACAGGTTACACAATTACTCCAAGGATTATGTGTGAATCTTTACAGGAACTTCTGTTTTTGAAACGACCCCTCAAGACACAACAGGATTCTTTTAAGTGTCCCAGTGGTACTAAACCTATAACCTTTGAGAATGCTTTCTTAGCACGGTTCACAAACTGGCTCTGCAGGCTTTTCAAAACTTAAGTTCTAGAAGTTGTACAGTAAAACGACAGGATCACTAAAATAAGCGTATAACGTTCAATGTAACTGCTTGCAAAAACAATACCCACTTTTAATATTGACCTAATCAAGGATAAATATTGCTATGACAATAGTTAGCTATGTGCTAAGTTCTATTTTAAAGCTTTATTTTTTTAAAATCACACAACAACACTGTAAGGTGGATCTTATTAGTAGTCTCATTTTACATAATGGAAAACTGAGGCTACAAGAAGTTAGTAACCTGTTAAAGGCGATGCAGCTAGAAAGACGTGAAGCTGATGTTCAAGCCCACACTCTTAGGCTTGCAGTCTCTCTACTTCTTAGTCATATCCCTATACTCATATGTTGAATACTCTAGAGCAGAAGTAAATGAAAATTCTCTACAGACTATCCATAGTTTTATTCTCCTAAGTAGTCAAAGAAATGCAAATTAAAGCATTAAAGTATTATTTTTTCACCTATAAAATTAAACATACAATTACGTCGGGTAAGACACTGCTACAAAGAAGTTAAACTGACACAACCTTGAGAAATAAGAGTTCTCACTTCAGAGCCAGATTGCTTGGGTCAGAATCCTAGTTCTGCCACCTGCAAGAATATCATAAGCAAATTACTTAACCTCTCAAAGCCTCATTTGTAGAACAGATAATAGCAGCATTCTATAGTTGCTGGAATTGAGTAAGTTCAGACATGCAGAGTACATGATAAACATTCAGAAAGTGTTACCTATTATTACTACCTTTATGGAGGTCAATTAGGCAACATATTTCAGTTACATGCAGCCCAATAATTCAATAATCATAGCTGGGCTCAAATATTTGTGTCTAAGTAGTCACAGTCGCAATCTTTTTTAATAGAAAAAATATGGACTCCCTGGAATCAACCAAAATATCTGGCAATAGGGAAATGGTTAAGCAAACTGAGGTAAAGTATTATAGTCATTAAAAACCATGTTTTCAAAAATTACAGTAAGAAATTTTTTAACAGCAACATATACAATAATTACCTTAATTTTACTGTGTGTTCACTCAAGAGTTTGAAAGATTAAAAGGAAACAAATGAAAATGTTAATGTTGTTTGTTTCCAAGTGGTAAGACTATATACAGGTGATTTCTTTACTTCCCTATTTATACATTTAGATATTTATCACGTTTTCTACCAGGATTACACATCATTGTTATAATTAGAAAAGTTACTAAAATAAATTCATTGCTTTAACAGACTATGGTTGAATAGTTTTCACAATACAATGATAGACTAATACTAACTGTAATTTATGTTTTTCACTAAATTGTATTTAATTAAATTAATTCATATAATTCATGTTACTAGTAAGATTTGTTCTTACTTTACACTCTGCTGACCTTACAATGGGCTAACAATAACTCCTTCAAAAAAAACTTGCATCGTTTAAAACTACAAATTGTCTAGTAACTTTTACATAAACCTAACAAAACTACTTAAGACCATCCACATACTCTGGAATGAAAATTAAAAATTACCTCTGAAGTCTCCCAATGTATAATAATAAAGAGAAGACATACCACTTTTTCTAGCCTTAATCATGTAATCTTCCTGAACTGGACAAATGCTGTCATTACTAAACTACATTTAATGAATGAATGATGTACAAACAAATGAAGCATTCCCTACTTTGTTTAAATCAAGCCTGTGATTTATGTTATTAGTTAAAAAGCCAAATTTTTACACTGTATTTCATATTACTTACATAGTTTCAAATTCAATATTGGTACTAATAATTTTCCAAGTTCCTCTGAATTGCTATCTAGAAAGACAAGGCAAAATAAATACTTTATTAATAACAACTGTATATTTTTATTTTTTTTAACTTCTAAAGTCAGAGAGGTACTAACAGCTATAACACAACTGGCTGTCCCAACACTATCAGTAACAGTATCAGTCTAAGTGTAAGTAACACTTTAATGAATCTGCTTCACCTTGCTTCATAACATGAAAAACAAATTTATAATTAATTCTCTGCTCTGTGATCTGCAATACTACCACCCAGCTTCCCTCCAGGTACCAGTCCAGGTAGCTCTATGTAACAACTACCTTCCCTAAGAGAAGCCTACCATGAAGATGAAAGCTGTTCCCTCGAATCTGGCAAACATTTTCCTTTTTTTTTTTGAGACAGAGTTTCACTCTTACTCCCCAGGCTGGGGTGCAATGGCGCAATCTCACCTCACTGCAACCTCCGCCTTGAGTGTTCAAGCGATTCTCCTGCCTCAGCCTCCCGAGAAGCTGGGATTACAGGCTTTGTCCCATCGCGCCTAGCTAATTTTGTATTTTTAGTAGAGACGAGGTTTCTCCATGTTGGTCAGGTTGGTCTCAAACTCCTGACCTCAGGTGATATGACTGTCTGGGCTTCCCAAAGTGCTGGGATTACAGACGTGAGCCACCAAGCCCAGCCATCAAATCTAGGAAACATTTCTGTAGCTCAAAGAAAAGAAAACACAATTAACTGTCCCCATCTGTCCTTAGACTCTTCCTGTTCTTAAGTATATCACTAACGATCATAAAACTCTTTCACTAATGTAAGTTGCTCTGTATGTTTCAGCTAACAATCACCTCCAAACATTTGCTGCCCATGCTACACAGGTGGAGTCCATCTAGGATTAAGGAGTGGGCATTTTATCATAACACTCTTTCTCATGATGAGTTAGCATGCTTTCACAAACTGAGACAATTTCCAGGACCCCCAGGTAGAGGTCTTAAGAGCCTGATTACATTCTGGAGATAGTCACCTTCCTAACAGGTTTCCCAAACTCTGAAGGCTAAGCCAAGAAAGGCTTCATTACTGTTTGATAGAGGAGAAGACAGCATTTTCATTCAAACTTTACCCCTCCAATTCCAACCAAGCTCATCAAACCCATGTGGACAAAATCCAGACAGTAAAAATGATAGGAAATGACTTTTCAAAGATAAAGACAAAAGGTTTACCTGACAGCAACTAATCCTACATAGTGGAACAAAGCCCAGGTGTAAGGAAGAGACTCCGTGGGACAGAAATATTTGGTCCAAACCCACATTATTTCCACGAGTTTCATAACTACTGCCTCCCTTCTTTAAAAGTTTTGTGGTCCTTGCTGTTCCTTTGCATACAAAAAAAAAGTTTAAACATTATCAAAAAAGATGTGTAATTATATATTTTGTGCAATGCAGGAAAGCTTATAAACCGGAATAAACTTTCCTTTGTCAACAGCTTACAAAAACAGAAACTTCCTTATTGTCTTCCACCTTAAAAAGAATTTCTATGAAAAGGTCTACTTAAAAATGCAAATTGTGCATTAAACTGTGGTGTACTAGAACTCCTACTATGAGGATATACTTAAAATATGCACTAAGGCTGGGTGTGGTGGTTCATGTCTGTAATCCCAGCCAGCACTTTGGGAGACTGAGGTGGGCAGGTCACCTGTGGTCAGGAGTTCAAGACCAGCCTGGCCAACATGGCAAAATGCCATCACCTACTTAAAATACAAAAATTTACCAGATGTGGTGGCACAAACCTGTAGTCCCAGCTACTCAGGAGGCTGAGGCACAAGAATCGCTTGAAACCTGGAGGTGGAGGCTGCAGTGAGCTGAGATTACGCCACTATACTCCAGCCTGGGTGGCAGAGCAAGACTCTGTCTCAAAAAAGAAAAAAATGCATTCAAAACCCTACAAAGAATCTGATTTTACTGTTGAAAATTTATCTGTAGTATTATGCATCTACAAAATATAAGTTCACTCTTATCACTCTATTTTGCAATGAAAACAATCTCAAAACATAATTCTATACTTTTTTTACACGTCAATTTGTAAAGCAGTCTGAAATGCACCTGAGACTCAGGAGAGTCTCGCTCTGTGGTCCAGGCTGGGGAATGAGAGAAATGGGGGTTGGGGGAGTTGGGGGGTACATTTTGGTCAAAGGGTACAAGCTGCAAGATGAATAAATTGTGGAGATCAAATGTGCAGCACGGTAAGAATAGTTAATAATACTATATTGCATATTTGAAATTTGCTAAGACAGTAGACCTTAATTGCTCTCATCACACAGACATTAAAAAACCAAGTATTTGTGAGGTGATTATATGTTAGCTTCACGGTAGTAATCATTTCACAATGTATACAACTATCAAAACCTCATGTTGTCCACCTTAAACATATACAATTAATTTTTTTTTCCTGAGACAGTCTTGCTCTGTCACCCAGGCTGGCGGCACCACCTCAGCTCACTGCAACCTCTGCCTCCCGGGTTCAAGTGATTCTCGTGCCTTAGCCTCCCGAGTAGCTGGGATTACAGGTGCGTGTCACCACCCCTGGCAAATGTTTGTATTTTTAGCAGAGGCAGGGGTTTGCATGATGGGCAGGCTAGTCTCCAACTCCTAACCTCAGGTGATCTGCCCACCTCACCCCCGCAAAGTGCTGGGATTACAGGTGTGAGCCACTACGCCTGGACTTTCGGTGAAACTATAATTTCTCTTAAGTTACAGTAACTATATATCCAAACAACAGATGTAAAATACAATAATTTTTAAATATGTGCATATGTGTAACCATAAACAATTAAGGATGTACCTATGTATAACCATAAACAATGTTTCTTTTTTTTGAGATAGTTTCACTTTTATTGCCCAAGCTGGAGTGCTATGGCTTGATATCAGTGTTGCCCAGGCTAGAGTGCAACGGTGTGATCTCAGCTCACTGCAACCTCCGCCTCCCAAATTCAAGCGATTCTTCTGCCTCAGCCTCCTGAGTAGCTGGGACTACAGGCACCCGCCACCAGGCCCCACTTTTTTTTTGTATTTTTAGTAGAGATGAGATTTCACCATGTTGGCCAGGCTGGTCTCAGACACTTGACCTCCGGTGATCCACCTGCCTCGGCCCCAAAACACTAAACTGCTGGGATCACAGGTGTGAGCCACCTCGTCTGGCCACATTTTTTCTTTATGTGATACTATGCATTAACTACTTTTGACTATCAACTTATGCAGTCTGCAGTTATGTATAAAATTGCTGGAAGACAGGAATTTTGAAGGTCTACAAGCACATGGTTAACAAGATAAATCTACAAAATACCATACCACTGAGATATTCGGCTATCTGTAACAAAGTCTCATAAACTATAACAATTTTTTTTCTTTTTTTGAGACAGAGTTTCACTCTTGTTGCCTAGAGTGCAATGGTGCAACCTCTGCCTCCTGGGTTCAAGCAATTCTCCTGCTTCAGCCTCCCCAGTAGCTCGGACTACAGGCACCCACCACCACATCCAGCTAATTTTTTGTATTTTAGTAGAGACGGGATTTCACCGTGTGGGTCAGGATGGTCTCAATCTCCTGACTTCATGATCTGCCTGCTTCGGCCTCCCCAAATGCTGGGATTACAGACCTGAGCCACCGCGCCCAGCCAAACTAGAATTGTTATTTTCAATGGGAACCACTTATGAATGTTATTGATACTTAGTAACGAAAAATTTTAGAAATCAGCAGCTATTAACTACTGAATATCAAAACAAGTCACTCACATATAACCTGAAGGAGAAGTTATTCACAGAATGGGCCCAAATTAGCTCATAACCATAAACGAAGCTAAAAAAAAAAAAAATTCAGTTCCAGTACTATGTGGTAACCTATCATACAATTTTATTATACTGGTCAGCTAAAGGAATAATGAAATTCTCTCCCATCTCTTCTCCTCAACAATACTAGCTCCAGAAGGCAGGGATCTTGGTCTTTTTAGCTATACAGACAAACCCGCAGAACAGTGCCTCGCACATAATATTCAGTATTCGTTGAACAAATAAAATGATGGCAAAACAGGTAAGACCAGGGAAACCTGAAGAGATCAAAGAGTTTGATTACACACAGATGAAAGTACAACTGGTCAATCAGAAGGCCGTTAACGTGAGTGAGTTGATATCAAATGTAACTTACTCCACATTTTAGAAAAAAAATCTTTAAAACTTCAGAATTCAAGAATGAGGAGTGTACGACCGCAAACACTCCTAGAAAATCTGTTGCACAAAACTATTAACTTCATAAAATTCTAAATTCTAAACTCTACTTTTAAATGGTCAGAATTTAGCAGGAAAATTATTAATATTACTCACAAATTCATAAAGCCAACTCTTTGCCCAATTATAAAGGAAAACATACTAGTAAACTTCGTTAGCACTCTGTCAATACTGCTGACTTCCTGATGTAATTTCTCACGTTTACTTATAAAAAGGTTTGAAACATTCAAAAAGCCTTTATTATCAAAAACACTTAATTCTCCTAAATACATCGTACCTATTTACACAAAGCAGAAGTTTCCTCACACTGACTTGAGTATTAGTGTTCTTGCAATTTCAGAATTCTCCATCAGGTGTATCCTTTTCAATTTTAGGAATTCAAAAAGGTCCTCAGGTTCTCTGGGACTAAATTACTTAACTCAACTGGGGCATATTTAGATAATAAGTCTTTTCCCCACTACAACTGCACTTCAGGAAAAGCAAAGTGACAATAAATTCCTCTCTTATACCTGCACATCATATGAAGTATTTGTGAATCTAAGAAGGGAAGACCAAGATCTTTCTCTAATTTTACTTTTAAAAATCTTCTGTCCAATTGCTAGTTCGTCTGTCTTGATGTATGCCTTTTATTGTAGCAACATGGGCAAGTATGTCCAGTTTGTTAACAACAGAACATTTTAATTGCTTGCCATAAGGTATCTGAATCAGATATGACACCCAAAGTTATACCCTACGTTCTAAACACCAAAAGGGTACGACTCAACGTAACGCCAAAAAAGTAAGTTTCTGAGCAGAATGCGTTTGCTGTCACTGAAACCGATGAAAGAAAGCAACTCCACAAGGCGACTACGCTCATTCTTTGGGCTCCCAAGGCTGAGAAATGGAGAACCAATTGTCCGGTTCGCTCTCTGTGGCTTCCCCCCGGCCTTCCTCCGAGTGGCGAGGCAATCCTGCACAAGTTTGTAAAGTGCTTAGGCGGCTTGCGGGATGAAAGACGCTATAAATACACCCCATGTTACTAGTTTATGATCACTGAGCATTCCGTGCAACCACTGTCACTGCGTCGAGGGCAGGTTGATGGCATAGCCCTTCCTGGGAAGGGGGACACAGGGCAGCCTTTTCATCACCCTAAAAGCTAGGCTGGGTTATTTTGGAAAGTGCAGCGAAACCCCACGTGAAAAGTTCCACACATGCCCCACACAGGGAGGACTCCGCCGCGGCCAGCAGTGCAGGAGACTGGGCCTACACCCGGGCAACGTGGGGAAGCGTGGGGCAGCCGAGGGGCCCTAGCCGCAGCCGACGCCCACGGGGCGGCTGGAGAAGCAGCTCCCAGACGGGGGCGCGGCGCCAGGCCCGGGCTCCCGGCGCGGAGAACGGCCCGGGAGGGCGGCCGCGCAGAGGCCCCGAGCCGCCCGCTTGCTGGGAAGGCTCGCGCCCCGCGGCCGGCGGGCGTGGGGGAGGGGAGGCCGGGCCTGCGGCCTGTTGGGGGAGTTCAGCCCGGGCCTCGCGTGCGGCTCTCGGCCCGGCCCCCGGCCCCGGGGTCCCGGACGCCGGGGAGAGACTCACCGGAAAGGCCCGGATCCGCATCTTGGTGTCCTTCCGGCTGCCCGTGCCTTTGCTCAGATTCGACATGGTGCTCGTCCCCTCCCCGGCGGCGGCTTCAGGTCGCGCTCCGCGGCGCCGGTGTCACATTTAAGGCGGGCGGGCAGGCGAGGGGCGACGCTGGGGGCGGCGGCGGCGCGGCCCCCGGGCAGGGCTAGGGAGCTGGCCGGCCCCTGGGCAGCCGCGGCGGCGGCGGGGACGACGGCGGCGGCTCGGGCTCCGGCGACTCCGACGCGGCTGGGGAGCTGCGCTGGCGCGGCGGCTCCGCGGGGTCCCCCTTAGGCCCGGCTCCGCTCCCTTTATCGCGCTCCTCCGCGATGGCGGCGGCGGCGGCGACGGACAAACATCTCACTGCGCAGGCCGAACGTCGTCCTCCTCCTCCTCCTTCTCCTCCTCCGCCTGAGCGAGACGAGATCCGGCCCAGAGGGTGGAGGGGGGAGGAGGGAGGGAGGAGAGCCGGAGAGTGAGAGATGCGGGGGGAGGGAGGTGGGAGGACGGGAGGGGGAAGCGGGCGGCCGCGGCGGGGACGCTCAGATCTCGCGAGAAGAGGGCGAGCGCGCTACTCCTCGTGGGGCGGGGCGAAGCCCGGGAGCGGGAGGACGCCACCGGAGGGGAGGAGGGGAACGGGGAGTTGGGGGGAGTGGGTGGGGCCGGCGGGGAGGGGGGGGGGGGGGGGGAGAGAAAAGGGGGCGTGGCTAAGGGCAGGAGGCTTAAGCTGCCTTTTTGAAAGAGGAGCGCCAGGTCCCGGGTCCTGGGCGGAGGTGGTTGCTGATTGGTGGAACTGCATGTGGGGTTGGCGGGGCGGGGGGTCCTGGTCACGTGGGGGGAGTGGGCGGGGGAAGTTCGAAGAGCCGGAGCAGGATCGTAGTGGGCTGGGCCCCACTGGGCTGAGATGAGAGGTTAGTCTGGAGAAAGAGCGTGGGGTGCTAGATAGATAACTATGTCCGGGACTGGTTCCTGTGTTTTTCTAGGGCATGTGGACTAGGGATGGGTACTTGAGCAGGAGCCAGCAACTTGAATGAAGCGTTTGTGCAGGAGTTACCTGCATTGTCGGAAATTACTGTCCTGTGTGCTCAACAAGGTATTCGGACTGGGTGTGCACACAACAACTCTCAGGACTGGAGGGTGGAAATTTAATCTACAAAGTGCCCTTAAACTGCAAAAACTTCGGGACCTCTTGATTCACTGATATTTTTTGGTGGACCCAGGGCTTGTTAATGTTAAAACCTGTTTTTCATTGCTATCAGAAAAAAATGACAGCTCCATTAATGAAATGCAGCATTTGGTAAATGATGTTAAATGGAATGATAGAAAGCTAACTTTAACCAACCAGATGAGTCATTTCTGCTATTACCAAGAGTACTGGAGGTTTTTAAAGCCAAAATTACTGTCTGATACCGTTGCTGTATATTTGAAAAGTTTTGTCTTTTGGTTTTGGGGGAGAGGGGTTTGGTCATTTTATAGTCAAAATGTCTAATCTGACTCATGATTTTGCTGTCCATTTATTATGAATTATACTTCCTCATTTACCTACTTGCCCAAGTGCTGTTATGTTTGGGTTTTTGACTCTGCAAGGGAGTATGCGAGTGCCTACTAAAGTTTGTCATCTTCCTATTTTAATGAAGCAGCTGTTTTGGGGATGGATATGTACATTTAGAAGCTGAAATTGTAATACTTTAAATAGCAAACTTAATATAAAGTGAAATACACTTATTTGTTGACTGTAAGGTTGAATTTACCCTAAATTAACCCTGATGAGTAAGCTTATGAGTTGTTGCGCTTAAATCCCCTACTCGGTTGAAACACCCCATTGCAAATACCATATTTTCTTGTTTTTTTTTTTTCTGTGGGCGTTTTTTGGTATTGGCTAATTAAAGCAGGAGCTTAAAAAACAAGAATGTTGCTTAAGATAATACCTAAATACTGAGGCTAAAAATAGGTTATCAAGAATTGATAAACTAAGATTGGGAGGCGCTCTGACTTCAATATAAGATAATGTCAGTATTGGGTAGGAGTTTATAATCTGTATGCTAATTGAACCTTTATTTCCATAATATTAGAATATAATAACAAACAATGTTTTCCTGTTGTTTGTACTCTGGTATGGCCCAGTTTCTTTGTACTGTAAGAATATATGTTCAGAACAAGGATCGCTGAGAAGCCATAAAAATAAATTTAACAGTAGTGTCACCTCGGCTTCCTGCAACCTCTGCCTTCCTGGCAAAAAAAAAAAAAAAAAAGAAAATTAGTTAAAAATATATATTTAAAAATATATATATGTTCTTGGAGCCATTGTTTGAATCCCAATTCTGCCACTTTACTAGTTGTGTTATGTGTCTTTTGGGGCATGGAGTTGACAATGCCTAGAGTTCCTCATCTGTAAAATGGAGACAATAACAATACTTCCTCCTTGGGCTACTATGAAATTTAAATAAGTGAATACATTTTTAAAAGCTCTGAGAGTTGGGCATGGAGCAGCCACTTGCCACCTATATTGGCTGTTATTAACATGGGCATTAAAGCCAAGGTTATACTACTTCCTTTATTCAATAGGCAGGTTTCTTTAAAAAAACACTTGTATGCTTTTATAAAATGAATCATATTTTGAAATTAAGCCAGTCACTGACATTTGGATCTCTCAGTCCAATAAAATATTTTCTGATAAGCTAAGGAGTCAATATAGGTTTGACTTTATATTGGCAAGGGCATTAAAAAGGAACAACTAGCATAGACTATCCCCATCATTTATTAAAAAGTATTTTAACCTCAGAAATGGGGAAGATCCATTTTTGAATAAATGACAGTTCCTTGAATTTACCAGCCTCAGGATGAACAATGCGTCACACTGATTTTTCTCATTTCACTGTGAACTTAAGGAGATGTCATAGGTCAGCATTTAGGAAATCATTACATTAAGGCATATTTCTACTTAATTGTAAAGCATATAGTAAATATGGTAACTCTAATGTATTCGTTTTGTGAACCCAGATTTTCATATGTTGGTGTTGCTTAACCAAAATTTAGCTGCAGCTAAAAGAATCATTATAAACTGTGTCTTCCCTTGGCTATTAACCACCAACACTCAGAAAAACGATTCAAAATGAATTTTTCATTAAGAAGTCTGCTCATTTATTTGTTCAGTTATTCATTTATTCAAGAATTATTGTTGAATGGCTACTGTATGTCAGAAACTAGGGTGAATGAGACAGATGGGACCTGCCATCACATCCTGTTTCACATCTCACAGTTTGTAAACCACAGTCCCACTTTGGATTTGGCCCCAACTTTGTATATACTTCAGTCCAGAAATCAGATATTTTCCTTCCTAAGGAAGCAGCATCCTCAAAATGTATACAAAATACTTTCTGAAGCAGCAGTAGACTTTTTCTGTGCCCAGTTATATTCCCTGACTTGAAGATAGCAAGTAAACTTTCAGGATGTTGCTTTTCTGCAAACTGCCACCTAATCCAGCAGAGAAAGCAGCACCGGAATAGGAACGCACTAGATCTTGCATGCCTGGCGATTGGTATTCCTACTCATGCTGACAGTGTCCTGACACAGGAAAACAGTGGCCTCATTTTCATTTATTCTTTCCACTTATTCGTATGGAGCACGTGCAGTCAGAGAGATCAGGCAGTTGAGTGGGCCAGTCTCTTTCCCACATCCTGGTCTGTAAAAGAGGAATGTAAGGTGTGAGGAGCTGGTGAAAGGAAGTAATAGCCTCTTCTTGACCATCAGTTTCTAGGTATTCAGGATACCAAGTCACTTTAATCAGTGTTTCAGATCTGCTGATTTTATTATATGGATATTGGTTATTAAAATAGCTCAAAGCCCACCATTTCAATTAGAAAAACCTGTTCAATGGTTTTGAGTAGACCAAGACTATGTTAGAGAAAGAAAATGTTTTTCAAATTGAAAGGCAAAGATGTATAGATATTATCAGCTCCTGGAATGGAAGGGCTAGATCTTCTGCTTTCTTGTCTCTACCAGGCAACTAATGAGTATTATAGGCCATTAGATGTGGAGTTGTACATATTTAGGGTAGTGGCATGTGTATGTGCATTACGAGATGACATATTATTGATGAGTACCCCATTGAGAACATAACCACAGATGCTTAAATACGTGAAAACTGTAAGCCTTCTCCATGTACCTTTTCTACTGTGTCCTTAAAATTTTCCTTACATATTGAGACAAAAAGCATATGAGACATATGAGCATATGAGACAAGTTGCATCTTAAACTAAAAAATTTTAAATGTCTGATTGTATCATAAAAATCCATCTCAGTTTTTCATCACCCTGTCATGAAAAGAAAATCATTTCCCTGGTAGCTCTGGAAATATTCTGGTTGGCTTGGATAGTGTTCTGTTTATTCCACATATACCTAATAAATTAATATTCTGGAAATAAAAATATCTATACGACCAACTAACCTAATTTAACATAATATGGATTCTCAATTTAAAAATGTAGGCATGGCATCTATGTAATCTTATTTCAAAGAAAAAGAATTTCTTCTTATTGATACCATTGTAACAGTAAGTGTATCAAGAAATCCCCAGGGGACCGTTATGAGTATGTATTGCTTTCATTCATGACAAGTAAAGTATACATTCAGATTTATAACTCATCAGCTCTGTCTTTGTGAAGTAAGTTAATTTTGGAGTTGAGATAAAGCATTGTGCCAAAAGAGCTATAAAAGTAATAGTCTAAAATTTATACTAGATTTAGTAATTGTATGAATTATAAATACTACACTGGTCAAATATAATAAAATGGCTAAAATGGAATTATTATTATTTTTTTTTGAGACAGAGTGGAGTGAAGTGGCATGATCTCAGCCCACTGCAACCTCTGGGTTCAAGCAGTTCTCCTGCCTCAGCCTCCCAAGTAGCTGAAACTACAGGCACGCACCACCATGCCCAGCTAATTTTTTGTATTTTTAATACAGATGGAGTTTCACCATGTTGGCCAGCTGGTCTCAAACTCCTGACCTTGTGATCCACCTGCCTCAGCCTCCCAAAGTGCTGGGATTACAGGCATGAGCCACCTCACCTGGCAATGGCATTATCTTTAAACTTCTTTAATAAGCTATTTGTCTTCAGTTCCTAATAAAACTATATTCCTAATTCATATCTAAAACCGATAGATATCAAAATCTGAGAGAAGGAGCCCTTGTAAAGAGAAGAACCTTTAAAAGTCTAAAAGATAAGAGAATTGTTGGGGTCAGGTGGGCATGGTGGCTCACACCTGTAATCCCAGCACTTTGGGAGGCCAAGGCGGGCAGATCACCTGAGGTTAGGAGTTCAAGACCAGCTTGACCAATGTGGGAAACCCCATCTCTACTAAAAATGCAAAAAATTAGCCGGGCATGGTGGTGGGTACCTGTAATCTCAGCTACTTGGGAGGCTGAAGCAGGAGAATCACTTGAACCCGGGAGGTGGAGGTTGCAGTGAACCAAGATTGTGCCATTGCATTCCAGCCTGGACTCCCAAGAGCAAAACTCTGTCTCAAAAAAAAAAAAAAAGAAAAAAAATTGTTGGGGCCTATTTCTAGCCCAAAATTGATAGCACGAATTCCTAGAGTAAGTTGACTTTTAAGTTGTTGGTCTCTGAGTCCTCTAATTTTTGTGTGGTTGGATATTGGGCAAAAAACCCCTTTAATGGACAGTTATGAAATAGCGTGACAGGTGGATGCCTTGTTAGGATAAAACCAGCAACTTTACATTGAACCCAATTAAAAACCTTTTAAAGAATTTTTATGTATGAGAAATTGATTAAAAATGGTATCGAAATTTTCTGTTACTGAAATTCTCATTGAGAAGTGGCTATTTCTACATGAACCTTTGGTTTTTTGTTTTTTGTCTTTGAGAAAAAAATCTACTTTAGATGCTTGTTGTAAAGGCAGTTTCCTATCCTTCTGTTAATTCGTATAGTGATGTTTGTCCTTTCTTTGGGAGGGGAGGAGGTATTTCCTATTAGCACACTGGTCTCTTGTTTATTTTTTTTTAAATTTATTTTATTGCATTTTAGCTTTTGGGGTACATGTGAAGAACATGCAAGATTGTTGCATAGGTACA